CATAGAAGGCTGGCTACCGGACATTATGAACGAGAGGAGGTAGAAAGGAAAAAAGGAAGAAAGGTTATTAGTTGGCAGAGGAGTTTTTCACACTCGATTTCTTTTCCTTCGTTTTTTTTGCAATTTTTTCAATAAAACTCTATCTAAACTTATGGTCGTAATAATGAAAAAAGATGCGTATAGACTAGGGGTTAGAGTTACTTCCCAATACATAAGTAGTCATTGGTTCGACCCTCCCTATCGGGTCACCAAGCCTTCGATCTCTTCGGGGTCGGCGAAATGGTACCAGCACAGACGTGATAAATCGGTAGGCTACCGCAAGTCATTATAAAGGTCAAACACATTTTCAATCATTTCTAATGTTGTAGAATGAAGTCGAATGGATAGCACATCCCTCAGGGTATATTGATCAACGCCAGGAGATTTATCGTTTTATTTTATTTATGGTTGCGCAATTACGTATGTCTAACATTGAAGCAACGAATAGGTGTCTTCTTTAGTAAAACTGCTACTGCCATAATTCAAAGAATTTCTCAAGTCCGGGTTGAGCTGATCGAGGTTAGACAAGTGCTTGACGCAAAGGGAACTTTTCAGATTTGTATTCCTTCATATTCCGTTTCCGTGTTTGCTTACGTGTTCTTCTTCCTTTTTTCACATTTTTCTGGCCGAATTTCCTTAATTTTCTTCTTGTTCACTTGTTATCTCTACTAGGCTGGTCTACCTTGATGTGGTGGAGCCCTTAGAATCCGCACCTTATCATCAGATCTTTTTGAAACTTTTTCCTCTTCTACCACAGCAGCAGTGCCCAGCGGATCGAAGTACGAGCAGTTCGGTTCACGGCGATTCTAGTAGAGTTCATTAGCTCAACAACCCGTGCAATTCGTTCTTCGATTAAGCAGTGAAGGAGTTCTGCGCCAATACATTCCTAGACGCACCAGGATTTTATTCGATCTAAAACCACGATGTTAGTGTTCAAGGATAATATTGAAGGGAAGAGCATGAGAACCGACGACTCGATGGTGTCTGGCGTGCGTTGTGCTTCATCGGAAGCGCAGCAGGGATTGGGGAGAGCTGCGAACGTGGTACTGCCGAACAAGTAGTCATTGCAGATGATCACTCGAATTCAATTCAGTTCCGTATTACTTCTTCCTTACTGATTTCCATTGAGATTCGAATTTTTAAGCTGTTGAGGATGACAACTTGTGAACGGTTGGAAATGTATTCGGATGTTGGAGTGGAGGAAGATTCACAAGAACTAAAACTTTCACAATAGTTCAGTCATGTTCAGAATACTAACTGATTTAATGAAGGTAGCCAGTTTTGCTTATTCTTCACAAATGATGAAAGTTATTGTTTCGCTAAGCAACACTAGGAAATACGTCATTGACAACTATGAACATTTCTGAAATCGCTCAGGCAAAAACAAACGGAAAGAGAATGAAAGGATGAGAAATGACTCTGTTTATCATGAAAAGCCACTACTCTTCTATGAAGAAGGAATAGGCAATCAGCAAAAGTTAAGGCATTGTTTAAAATGTCTGATTGGACAGAAAATGGTTAAACATGTCAAAGGGCGCCATATCGGAGAAATTTCATGAATCACATTATTCGATGAATCGCGATGGGCTTACGGTCGGTGAAATTCTTTTCATACAGGTAGGTGTTGTTCAGCTCATTTTGATTGGTTTCCTATTAGAAGTATATAGTATGGTAATAATAGAGGTGTATTAAGTATAAATACACCATTTTTTCGTTCTTCTAGAAAAAAGGGACAAATCACACACTCCCCGAGTACCGATTATCACACGGGTCAACTTGTCACGGCTATATTCAGTGTAACACGAAGGGAATTATTACATACGTTTTAAGGAAATGTTCACCTCTCTGAGTATGATTCGACTTCTCTGTTAGCCATTTTAATTTCTCGATGACGATAAAGTAAAACCGGGAAAGCGACCAGTAGAAGTTCGTGTGTGGCACTGGAATATTCTAATGATGACGAATGTGACGACGTCGACAACGACGTTGACATCACCAAGGAATCCCAATCAGCGCTCAGACGACTTTATCAAATCACTGAATAGACGACGTTGTCAATTTGTCGACGAGCTCAAAGCATAGAACAGCAGCGGTCGGATTTTTCAAACTGATCGTCATTCGACGTCAGTGGTAATAGTCAGTACCTTCTTGAACTGTTAAGGTACCACGAGGTCGATAAAGATGTTTATTCGGTTTGTGTTAGCGTAACAATCCAAGAAAGAAGTTACATTCTTAACTATCTGTCTCTTATACCATCTATTCTTACATGACTCAACACCACAAATTTTGTGCGGATCTCAGTAGTACATGTACTCGATTACTCGATTCGTTTCCCGTATTCATCATCCACAAATGTCCGCGGAACATGTGCGTGGGCATGGCTGCTTCTGAGAATTTCTTTCGGTCCTCTTTATTAATGTCATTCAATAGCTGATCCTTCATGGAATTCTAGTGTAGCAGCGCAAGTGTGCACCTAGGTCTTAATTCCAGAAAGCTTTGCAGAGAAGTCTAATTCCAACTACTCGACCACGGACGGATGGGAGGCTTGGTTGGCCTGGCTCAGAGTCGAACCAGGATCTTGTGCGTGGGAGCATCACCATAAATGCAGTACCCTCTCCCACTTATATTATTAGGAGTACAATAATGTATTATTTTGTTAGATTCTTCATATAAGCATGTCATATAAAGTATATAGGAAGAAATACTTGTCAATGAATGGATTCTTTTTTCATCGACAGTACCCAGGTAGTTGCATTTTTGCGTATACACATCATCATATCTACTTCCTATATCGTGGATATAATCCCAGTAATTCCTAAATAGTTCGAGCTATCTTTACCACTAAAGCCTCTATTTGTCTCTGTCATCAACAAAAGCACCCAAGTGGATTTAGCTCGTTTCATCTGCACGAAAGGCGCCCCAAATTTCGTGTTGAGCTCATAATTTTACTGCTTTTCCTTTACAGACAAAGAGCTAGATTCTAGCTGGCCGCGTCGTTGTTAGGGGTGGGGCATGTAGCTTGTTGGCCTCTTTCTAGTAGACATGGGGTTTTCTTTACTTGTTGGAATCGAACCCGAGCGGTCTAAATGTACTTCCTAGTTAGTTGATTGAAGGTTGTTCGCAAGCATAGCGTATGTAAGAACATCCCGAGGGCGCATGCATGAATATGATAACGTTTTTCCAAGTAATATAAATCAATTCAGCACAGTAAGCAGAACACATTCGCCGAATTCATCAGCATCTCAGTGGAAGTTGAGGGAGGCGTTTGCTTCGTACCAGACCGGGTCATACATTTCGCCGTCGCCCCGTTACTGAACATTTCTAGATGCTTTTCATAGAGGATATCCCGTTAATATAAGTATAGACATATATTTGCATTATTTGATGAAAATTATAGAATTTTAGATGAGGAAATCTGACATCCAGTAAAATAGCGCTGTATGAATCGATATGAGTGCTTCGCTTTCATACACATTCATAACGAAATCTGCTTGATGGCGTAACCTTAAAAGGCAATTTGTCTTCGTCACATCAGAATTGCTCAGTAGAATAGGCGCCTACTAAGTAGTATATTTGATTTCGAATGAGCCATATAAGAATTTGATGCCAGAAAACATCTCTTGTGGGGTTCTGCACTTCTCTGTATCATTTCTCTTTTGGTAGCTATGATTCCCTTGAAATGGAGAGAAGGTTATTTAATGACATCATCTTATGAAGTAGAGTGCACATGATCCGAAGTCCTATCCGGCTGGGCACAACAAACAGTTCGACGTTCAAGTTGAATTACTGCTTCAAAGAGCTGCTGTTAAAAAAATACCACTGTTCTGTTAGCAAATTCTTTTTCAAGTAGCACCACCCTTGTTGATACCGATTATATGTACAGTAGCAATCTCATTAATGCTAATTATATCTACAAAGTGTGATTTGTCTCTATGCATACTGTAACAAATCGCTTACCAAATCAGAAACTGCCAGTGAGAAAATGAAGTAGTTGGACGGTTGACGGATGTTCTTGTCGAGGTAGTACGATAGTAACACTGCTAGATTTCCAACTATGGTGACAATTGATAGTATGGCCATCGTAATGGCCCATAGAATTGAACCGGCATCGCTCATCGTTCGTTGCCGCTCATTGTCGGACCCAATCGAATTTTAAAGAAAGAAAAAAGTGTCCAGGATAGTAATGGTAGTAGTTGTTGTAGTAACGACTGTTTTCACGATAGAATTAGAAGTTAGTCGACGTAAGTATGAATATAAGAAACCACGACGACGACGACTTCTACATAGAAGCCGCCAGAGCGCTACTAACTAGCTTCTACGGCATCCATACTTCCCTCCGAGCCACGCCCATTCGTAGTTTTGCCAATGAAACCTCCGCCCACCTCTTCTTCGTCCGCCCTTATAGTGCGAAGAAATCGCGCGCCATGTATAAGAGAGGCAGACCACTAAAACGTTTTAAATTCGCGCCAAAACGCTACGCAGTCAGCACTCGTGCAAGGAAATTCGGAGCAGGAACGTTTACACTGCATGGCTGCCCGCGAGTATGATTTACGACAAGGTGTTCGCATATTGTACGGGCTGCTAAGCAGTTCTGGCACGATGACAGCGTAATGCGTTGGTGGGAGTATTCTCGCAATAAACTGGCGATTTTCTGGGCTTTTGGTTGTTCTACGGTGGTGGTACGTTCATTGTCGGAGGGTTTTTCCTCTTACTGATTAGTTCTTTTGAGACTATTTCTCATATTGATTAGTTGTTTTCTCTAGTTAACAGTTTACTTTGTTTTTTACTAGGGGTTATGCTTGAGTTTAGTGCTTGATCCGGTGATCTGTTGCATGTTAGGTTTCTTTGTCTCTCGTTCAGCGATCCGTAACCCTTGTTTGACCAAGCGATTGTTATCTATAGGCTAAGGTGTTCTTTAGTATTACAACTCTCAGAACTTTCAGTTTGGGTTGGCCGATGCAATGTCTTCACTACCTAGTAGCTCCTCGGAGACGGGACACCGAAATGTCCACAAGTGGTATTTCACCAAGGAAGAGGTGAGAAGCTATTCTTTCTTTAAGGCAAGTTTTGCTGCATCCATAGAATCTGTGACCAGTGACTCCCGTATTTATCCCGTCAGTTGAAACTGGGACAACTTTCTATCACTTTTGTGCTACGGTCCGTGGAAATTGAGGAAAAGGAAGTTGAATGAATGGTTCATCAATTGGGTGAGAGATAGTGAATAAATTTATTCACTTTTCTACTTTACTTTACTGTTTACGCATTTCTAGACCTAGAGCTACTCTTTCAAGGTTAATTTTGGCCCAGTTCTATGGGTGAGCTCCATATCAAATGGGATTTTGTACGCACGCCATCATTTGTTAGACATCTAGGGTTTACTTCCTTTCCCAAATTAATCAATTTTTACTTTCGTCCCACTAAGGCGTTGTAGAAGTTAGAAATTGAAGGAGGTCCCTGTAATTCCTTTTCCTGTCAACTTGAGAGAATCGTGGTTTGGGCCTAACACACCTACCGAACACCAAAAGCTTTATTGCGATGATTTCGATTTAGAGAGGCTTTTTTGTGAATGAGTAAACCGGAACGATCAGCCGAACTCCTTTGATTCTTCGCTGGTGTCTTCTAAACTTTCTATTTATCTTCCGGGGCTTGTGGGCTTAGTTCAGTCACTTACATGGATTAATTTGTTTCTTTATTCTCATCCTTTATCATATGTTATTCTACTCCAGCTTTTTTGTGCAATTTCCATCTTTGTATTCGTTTTTCTTTCTTAGCTCCATTAAAGAAGTATCGAGTTTATAGGCAGCCAACACAGCGAGTATTCGCGACGGGTTTACACCAGAAAAAGAGTTGACCTATCGGCAGCAAGCAACTCGATTCATACAGATGATGGTGGATCAGTTGAACCACAACGTCCGTGACCAAAGAGGGAAGATGTGGGTGCATTTTTCTATCGTTTTGTGTTTAGTACTTTCTGCTGGTCTCGTTTTGGTGAGACGGAATTTCGTTACCTCAGCCAGATCGCAGTGAGGCGAAAATTGGAAACCGTTGAATGCGAAGAACTTGTACCTGTTTCCCTTTTATTCATTCGATCTTACGAACCGATCTTGTTAAGCTGAGAGGTTTGTGTAAGTCGTCGATGTTGTTGTTGTTGTTTTTGTTGGCGACATCGTGCCACTCGTAACGGTACGGTTCTGAGGAAGGCGAAATCGCCGGAACACCAGCCATCGGCCAACAGCGACGGCTTATATCAACTTCACATCAGCTCAGTAAGATCGACAAGAACGCATAAATAATTATATCGATTACTTTTGCTTAAGTTGATAGGAAGTCGGTCTTTTGAGTTGTTTCCCATTTTGTAGTGCCATAATAATGGAGTTTGTCATCACTGTGTTACAGTTCCCAACTGTGTATGTGCGCAGCAATTATGCATATGCAACGTTTCTATTGTTTCCACACGTTCAGGATGTTCGACTACAGGGTTAGTTCTTCGGATTTACCACAGTTTGTTTCCCATTGGTGATTCCATTCCATTGGTATTTCATTTCTTTTCTGTCTTAGGACATTGCTGCCGCATGTTTGTTCTTAGCGGGCAAAAGCGAAGAATGTCCGAGAAAATTGGATCACATTGTACGAGTGTGGTGGGCAAAGAAATTCGACCGTCATCCAACTATTCCAAGTAACAATGTGCGTTTCTTACTATACATTAAGTTTACACAACATCCATTAAGTTCTGAGATGACTATGTTAAGTTTTCATTTACTTCCTATTGAGTTTTTCACGGCAGGGTGCTATGTATGATGCAACTACAATGGTGCCGAGGCATTTGCAGAACTTCGAACCGCAGGTGTGTACGGTGGGGAACGAGCTCTCTATTACCGTTTCCGGAGGCTAACACGTTCATCACCACACTTTTGCGTGTCCTTCGTTTTGCCTTTCTTCCAGCTAGTGTTCTGTCTACCAGTGCCATCAGCAACGGGTTTGATCTGGTAAGCCCAAACCGGCAACGAACCCAGTTAGGCTGAACAAGCATGGTGTGGTGGTTAACGCGTTAGCACGTAGCGCGCCCACTTCCTACCCTAGACACCCTGTGGTCGGAGTTTCGCAAAAATCTCATCACTATTATGGTGTGGCTGTTCTCAATGATAAATTTTTGGTTCATACCGTGTTCTATTCGAGAATAGGGGGCAGCTTATGTGCTTCTGAATGTAGAATTTTCTTGACATATGGTCTGTCTTCCACATTTTTTTCTCTGCAACTAGTTGTTCCTTTACTGTCCACAGATCAGTGGATTATAGCATTACATCGAGGCAGCGCAACTAATCGTACAATATGAGAACGTCATTCTTCAAACGATAGGTGAGTTCGTTTCTTTCTAAACGTGATTTATGTTTGAATTCGCACAGTAGTTATTAAATGGATATTTAGAAATAAGAGCGACCGCCTAGACAAATGAGAGAACGTTTTTATGTTAGACATAGTGGCGATAAAAAAGTGTAAAATAGGCACTTAGCGGTTGTGTTCAGCTTTTGATCTGAAGGTCGAGATGCCACATCCCTTCGTTCTCGCCGCAATGCACGAGATTGCGCCTAGTAAGCAGCTTTATAACTTGCCTGAACCCTGACTTTGACCTAGTAACGCTGAACATTTCCAGATAACAAGAAACTTACAGAGTGTGCGTACTTCTTCGCTACAGATGTGTAAGTTTTAGTCGTTGTTTACATCAAGGCGTGACGAGCAATTTCCCTTTTTTTTTTTGTTTTCGAAGAAGAGCGGAGACGAGGCAACTGTTTTACTTCTTTCTTGTTACATTTCTGCTTTTCCGATGTGTATACCATACACTTGAGGATTTTCCTAGTCAACAAAAAACAATCGTCTAATTTTTCCTTTTGTTTCTTGTTTCTTAATGGGTTTATGTTCTATATGAATCTGCAGGGAAAGGGGTTCGTCACGCCTAGGCCTAGGGTTAGAATGATATCCTGTTTGACATGATCAGGCGCTTGTTTTAGGCTGTGCGTAACGAATTGGGCGATTCGGTACAACGCAAATGCGATAGCATGCGTATGTGTGCACCTAGTGTGTGTGTACGCCGGATACGAGGTGTTGGTCAACACTTGTTCCCATTCTGCCTAGAGCGCGCTTTGTAATGCGAGCCGAGGGTGGAAGCGGCGGATAAGGTCGTGCGCGGGAGGGTTCTAGTGCCGTCATGTGTCCGAAAAAGTTCACGTTGATTTGGCATGGCCCGCACACGGTCCCACCACCATCCTTGGCCGCTGGCAAGTTTCTCGGGGCATTTGGGCAGTCATTCATGACGTGAAATAGAGGTATGTCTATTGTGAGCCTCTGAAATGTTTTTGTTTGGATTCAGTCTTCTAGTCATTGACTTCACATTTAGCCACAAGGAATCGGGCACATACAAAGTTTCAGAATTTGATACATTATAATCTTATTTTCCTCTGGAAAGCAGTGTTATTAACGATTCTATTGCGGAAATTGTGGAGTTTTTAACGCGTAACGGTGTTATGTTGGTGTTAACTCGTATCTCGTTATCAAAAGATGCATAAATAAGTTCGCATTAATGATATAATATAGCAGTGATCAGTCTTGACCATCATTTGCCTCAAACGTAAATCTTTTAATCGGCTGGCTCGTTTCGCCAACAATTAATAGTAGTCCGTGTGGCCCTAAAGAGGCAAATGGTGTTCGTTTGTGATACGAAAAGCGTCAGTTTATTTGTCTGGGATAATTTTTACTCTTATAGCTAGAGGGTAGCTTTCTGTATCTATGGGGCTCTTACAGACAGTGTACAGAAATCTAAATTAATTCGGCGCTTTGTAGATGGGGAGTTCAATAGGTTGCTCGGAGGTAAATGGGAATTCCAAACTGCGTTTTTGAAGTAACGTACATTAGAGCAAAGTTTATTAGTTGAAGTGAAAGCTAATGTGTTCGTTAGCACTTCCTTCTCTCATATCTCGTTAACGTACCGACCGATCCGGCTGTGCTGCACTACATCCGAGTTTTGGAGTTTGGATTTTAGACTTGTCGAAATTCCCATTTTGACATTTAGGATTCTGACCATTGAAATTTGTCAAAAAACGCTATTAATATTGCAATTACATAGCACAAAAGTGCTTAAAATGAGCTTTACGTTCATATATGATAATACAGCATCCAGAAGAAAACTATTGGAGAAACGTATAGAGAAAACGAAGTTGTAAAACTATCCTTCCGAACAACCTAATACATAGTTACGCCTAGTCGGCAGTTAGCACTCTATCTGCTTTTGAGAGGCGAGTCATATAGCTTCGTAACTGACCGATTTGAGCTTTAAATGCCAAGAATATGTGAGTACTACCATGAAAGGAAATCAGTTCTAAGGGAAGAACTATGTCGTAAAATTTTACACAAAGCTATTATCAAAGTTGGGTCTGGTTAAAAGTCAAATTCTTCTACTTGCTGGTGACCTTTTCTTCTATTAGTACAGCAATTTTCGATATTTTTTCTTTAACAACATGATAGGTTTGATAACGTTGACACTGTTGTAGTGAAGTAATTGAAGGCGTCTGTTGTTTGTAGATTTGTTCAGGGTGTCATTTACCTTGTTAGAACTCTGCTACTAATTGCGCCTTGGTGCCGTAATTGTTTGAGAATGTGGTGTGACTACATTGTCGCGCATACATTCCAGTTTCTACTTCCATCAATCTAATTTGTTATAAAGCTCCACTTTAACGAGTTTAGCTCATTTAGACCCCGTCGCCTACACCTGGAGAAAAGGCTTGGTTCGAAAAAATCGACCCAGATATGACGCAAGATCTTTTGAATGGTATTGTCAACTATTTAGTTCTCGTTTCTGGCTAATCCGGTGTTAAAAAGTTAAGTCATCATCGTGGTATTCGTCTTAGGCGTAGTTTCAGTCATTTCAGAAATGTCTCAAGAATTTGCCAGCGTTTACAAGTCTTGTCGAGAATGGTTGGCTCTTACACGATTTGTTGCTAAAGGCATAGTGAAGCCAACAACACCGACTCCTAATCCGTCACGAAGTCCAGCTGAGGACAAGGAAGTCTTACCGCCGCCGCCTCCTCCGCCTACATTCCACAAAAAGGTTGATCTCTCGGAATACAAGGTGTGCTTCTACTTCTACTGTTGCCTATTCTGTAGTTGTACGTTGTAGCTGTAGGTACGTCTTGTGATACTGTGTTTATGCCAGCTGTAAATAAGGGATTTTACCCCTTATTTTCATTTTTTAGCAAGCGATTTATGCTTAAAAACGCTGCCAAAGGAGTAAATTTTCGTTTAATATTATTATCATTGTTACTGTTATTACTTATTAAATATTACTACTACGTGCTTTCTGTGATGTACCTCATCCACTACAAAGTAGAAGCTTTAGGAACGCTCTAAGTCACATGCCTGTGGAGGTGATCGGCCTTCAGGTGAGCGTGCGCCTGCCCGACGAAGCTTCATTCCGGACACGTCACAGGTTCGGCCTGATCTCTCAATGCCGAATCTCACTCTTCCTGGGCAAGATACAGTGGCTCGGGCACCACTTGGTAATCCCTGCACTTTATCTATTTGTTTAATATATTAAGAAAGGAAGCTCAATTTATTAGGAAAATTGGATATGTTTCCACGTGCTGTAGTTCTCACCTTCTAATTGGTATTGGTACGAATTTCGACAAATGTGTGGATTCTGTAAAGTTTCAAGTTTTTCTTAATGACGTATATGTGAAGATAATCAGTTGTAGTTGGGAAGCAAGTCCTGTTGAGGAATTGTGATAATGTAGTTGTGAAGGGATTGCTAGTGTCAAAATTAGCCGACTGCTTATCCACGATAAGAAGACTCGCTGTTGTCATTTAGTATTAGTTCTATGTAACGATTTGTTTAGCGTCAACTCATGACAATGGACATAAAGTAAGAGATGAGCAAAATCGAAGGGAGGATGAAAGACGAAGGGAGAAGGAACGACGTCGACGAGAAGAAAGGGAAAGACTGGCGTCAGCACATTTTGAAGATAGGGAAAGGCGGAAAGAAGAGGAACGCCGAAAACGAGAACACGTCCGTGCGCCTGTGACTGGGCACTTTAGTGGTAGCCAACCACCACTGTAGGTTTTTTCTTTATTTTAGATTATGGACTTTTTAACATGTCTATGACGATGAGTTTTGGTAGTATGTCGATTTACTTCTTTTTCGAGTACTTTGTCAAATGCAACTCCAATTACACATCGGTATTTTATAGTTGCAAAGAAAACTGGTCCACTTTTTAATATCATACTGCCTGTTAGAATTTTTACGGTAGGTTATTATGTGTGACTTAACCACAATAATGAGATATTTGCGAAACTCCGGGCCGCAAGCTATGCGGTGGGGAACGAACGCGCTATTAGTTGAGTGACAGGCGAAGCGAAGGATCCTCGTTGTGTCGTGGTGAACGCGTTAGTTCCCAGAAAGGGTAATATTGTGGTTAAGTCACATTTTTTAATAATTTGAAACGAAGCAGAGGAGATGAATAAATTCACATAGCGATTATGAGGAGGAAAGAATGCGTACCAGCATCGGCATGAATTGGCCTTTCATGGGTCGGGTACTTCGCATGTCTTATATCAGCGATTTCAGTGAAAAGCGTCCTCGCATGGATCAACAGTCGCCATCTTTCCTACCATCATCTTTGGGTTCTTCTGGTATAGGTAGCGGCTCTGCATCAAAATCATTCCGGCCTATGTATCAAGGTCATATGACAGCTCACAGTAGCTCACACAGTCATAGCACGATATCGAATGGCTCGCATTCACGGAGGGATAACGATGTTGTGAAGGTTGGAAATGTTTTCTTGAGTTTTTAGGTTTCTGAGAAACATGAAAGTGGAACATGATTCAACTTCATTTTATTTGTAGGAATTTGTCTCTCAATTTTGTTTCAAAGGTTTTCTTTTGCTTTAGGAGAAGGGTCTAGTTCCTTGGGTGCATTGGAATGTTATTTACACCTAAACTGAGGTCCTAACTCGCTTTTATACGACGGCAGCTGTTGTTTAAGCTTGCATGTTATTATTTGCATTAATCCATTCTTGTGTTTGATTCGTAAATACCGTCATCGCAATTTTAGCATCTTTATTTGATTGATATGGCTTTTTAGGCAGCACGACGTTATTTTCCCAGGTTACAAATGAGGTTAAGCGTATGGATGGTTTTGTAGTGATGAAATATTTAAAATATGTATTTTAGCTTTCACAGCACTCTTGTTACTTCAGTAGTTAAATATTTCTCTGTCTCCTGTTATAGGTTCTTCTGTTCATATCATCGTTGTGGTAAACTAATAATCACTTGGTGTTAGGACTTATCATTACACGTCAAAAGTTTTCTGTTGTTTACAGAGTTCATCGCAACATAGCCGTCCTTCGGAACCATCTCGAACATTGACTCCGCCACCACCTCCACCACCCATTACTGAGCTAGAGGATGGTGAGCTTGAGTGATCTCATTGTTGTTGTCATAATTATTTGCTGTCTGTCAGTCACTGATCTATTGCCGTATGTTTCGAATTTGGTACGTAACAGTCGTTAAGTGGAAATGTGGTATATGTGATATCTGTTTTGAAAAAAGTCACGGGTACAATTCTACTTTACTTTTGGTCGTACCGTCGCTTGTCACCTAGAGAACGCTGTTTAGATCGGGTATATTATTTTTGTCTTTGTCATCATATACGCGTATTTTAATTTAAATGTATAAGTTCTTTATGTGTTAGAAATCTTTAAAGGATGGAATTTTTGATAACGTTGAGAAGTTAGTTGAGATCTCCCATTGTTTGGGTAACTTTGAAGATATTAATGTTGATATTACTGCATTTCGTTGTTATTGTAACTAGAGTTATAGTTCGTTCTAAGGACTTTTTCATTACTACCTTTTCACTTCTCGCTTAGAAAATGTTCCACATACGCATCCATTCGATTTAATAGGTTCAATACACAAATAGTTGATTGTAGCTTGACAAGAGGTGAATTTTGTATAGTAAAGGGAAATAAAATGTTTTAATCATTATAGCAACTATCCCCGGAATAGTTGCTATTTCTTTCTATTACTGCATGTTTCTGTAGTAAGGATCATAAATACTGTTTCTCAAGTTGCCTGGCAAATGTCGTAGTACGTAAATATTTTGATCCCATCCTAAGGAACTTCGTATGGAGAATTGCTCTATCAAAATTCTCTATCTACCTAGCAGACATTCAATGGGTCGATGGAGACGGACTTTGCCACAACACCACTAGACACAGCATCACGTGACCATCGGTCACACCAATGGGCATGCTGCTGGGTACGTCTCATTGCTTGGGGGATGGACCCCGCTACCCGATCCTTGATCCTCGCTTGGGCGTAGCCACGCCCCGACGAGCACCTCTCTTTTTTAGGACTTGGGAGGGGTTTTGGGAGTCCTGCGTTCGACGTGATTGCCTTATTATTACGGTAGTATTCTTTTCGTCGTTATTCCTGTTGTATCGGCTTCTGCCTTTATGTATATAAAGATTTAATCCCTAGTTTGAGTGTCGAAAACTCTCGCGTAGCGTCTTACCACAAAGTCGAGTATTATGTTTAAAGCTAGTGGTTATTCGGTGTCGAGAACTAACTCGAAAGCCTATATTCCGCTAGCAACTGCGATATCCATGACATATGCTAAATAGTCCTTTCGTGTGCGAACCACTTTGTTTTCTGATCAAAATCAACCGTTTCCAATGAGCCCTGTTTCAACGGCTTAGTAAAAAGTAACATCTGCTAGGTATTCAAGCTCTATGAAGGCAAAAGGCTCGAAACGTTACCGGGATAAAGGCTTAAGGAAGTGCTATTGAATACGCAGTGCAACGTTGATTTGGAAAATCTCTTCGTGGGGAATTCAACCTTGAAGATGGGATGTTGGGGGCGTCATCATTCTATTGTCGACGGTGAATTGACGGACCTATCAGGCGATGCAAGCAGAACCGTTCGAGGCCTTGCAGAACTGAATTTAAGCATTTTTTAAAAAATGCTTCACATTGGAAAGTAGTGAAGCTTGGAAGGATAGATGGTGCACGAGTTGAATGGCTACCGAGGAAATCGCTGTTTTTAGGTGTTGTCAGCGCTTCTTCCGGTGAAGTAGAATGAATGTCTCTGGGTAATGTTGTAACGCGTGGCGAAAACTAGACTCTACGACAACGGGCAACTATCGGTACGATAGATGGGTTGCGGAGAAGCGATGTAGCACTTCCCTAAGCAGAAATTGCACCAAAGGTAAGCAATATTGACCGTTTGGTGGTGCATAGCTGGTTTGATCCATCACAGGTTCTTTAGGTGAGGTGAAATGATTTTGACGGTGAAGTAAAAGAAAGGATGAAAATTTTCGAGATGGTCAATCCTTCAGGGATGCGCTATGCATTAGTGTTCATCAAGCACTGTTAGGGGTTGTTGAATTCATATCTGGCTTACACAGTGATTTTGTAGTGGCGAAGCACTGTATAAAGTCCGTACTGCTGTCCTTCCTGGCAGGACTTCTACCACTTCGCTGACTCTCAACGGATGATCATGTGTGTATTCCAGCGCTGTTCTAACCACTGCGGTACACGTGCCCACCGGCGGCGGAGGGGTATATCCAGAAAATCGACACACTACCAGAAGCTTCAACGGCTGCGCTACTCTTTGGTCAACACAAAGGCGCCAAATCTTCTCTACGACAACACGTAATCAGACATACTCCAACTGACGCTGGAAGTGTTGAACGAGCTGGATTACAAAACTCTGCCTTGTCCTCTATAAAGCATGAAGCTCTCGGCGTTGATCATTCACTGAGGAATGCGCCATGCATTTGATTTCATTTAACATCGTCAGAGGTGATTGAATACATATCTGACATATACAATGACTCGCGTTTGCCCACCGATGTATCAAGTACTGCTATCCTCAAAGACAGGTCTAGTACCAAGTTCCCGAGCCAGGTGGAATTGAAAACTTGGTGGTCCTAAGGCGCAGGACCTCTCCCAACTGTATTATGTGGCGCCTTTAACTACTCCACTACACACGCCCTTTCGTCTAATATATTGGTTCGATTTCTCGCGTACCTACTACCATTTCTTTCTTTAAAAGCTTACACAATTTTCTATACGAAGAATACTTTAGAAACAAATCCGAGGTTAAAGCTGCGTTTGATGATTTCATCGTCTCCAGAAGTCTAGAATTTTACGAAACGCACAGCTAAACTTGTTTCTCGTTGGCAAAAACGTTAAGATGCTAATAGTTGTTATTTTCATTCATAAACCATATTTTGAGCTGAGATATTCCACTTTAAAAATACAGATTGGATCGGACGGTAGTTTCAGAAAGACCTAATATTCACTTTTCTACCGAACCAGATTCTGTTATGATATGAGGCAAACATCTGTGTTATTGTATACGAACTACGATATAAACAGAGATCATAGCTGTTCGAAAATCGATTAGGGAACGAGCACTGTTCCAGAACATTCGTTGAGGATATTGTTCAGGAATAAGGACTGAAGCCGCATCACGTGCAAAAACTGCCGGATGATTGCAGGATCCACCACGACAACAACAAAAATAGCATGGACCGGATGGTGTGTTGGCCTGTAAAGGACTAAGTAGCTAGAATATTGTGCCGAACAGAAACGATGATTTATACAGCTGTTTATTTTTCTCCATTTGCTGTTTCTGATGACATAATGCACATGTGCAATTTTTGAAACTCCTCTGAAGTGCAAACACGTTGAGCGTCAGCTCTTCATCGTTCCCTAGAATAGTTAAGGGGATTTTTGTGTTGAAAGCTTACCAAACCATCTCCATTGTACTGTCCAGTTGCTAAATAAATAGATTTTCGTTAGAATAGAAGTGCATTGGGGGCAGTACCGGCCAACACTACAGCCCTCCACAGTTGGGTGAGCAGAGGTAGTGGATGCTTTATAGGTGTGTCTATGAACATACTGAGGGTTGATCCGTCTAGCTTATTGAATATTGAGCAAACAAGTGAAATCCATCCACCTCAGAATTACCGTTTGCGACAAAGACTTACACAGCATGGGTATTGTTAGTTAGTAATTAAGATTGAATTCAAATGTTAGTGCGTACCATACGACATCCTTGCTGGTTAATAAAGCCGGGACCATCACCACAAGTCTGGGCGCCGAATGGTATGGTAAAGTCATTGGCGCAACCAAAACTGGCTGTCCTACCGAATGTATAAAAGCTAAATATGTATTCCCTAGATTAGAGACAATTGGACGGTGAAATCACTAAGCGAAATCGCTAGATTTACCTCACTGCACACCAATCTCTGTTTATCGTTTCTGCACATCTACGACTAATTATTCCTCCACTGTAAGGAGACGATATTGTTACACTGCCTTAATGTGAGTTTGATGGAAAAAGCTGGATGTAGATTTTAGGCAACGAAAATGGTTAATTTTATCATTGTAATAGAATTTGGTATAAATCTCATTCCAGGTTTTATCGCTGCATAGCAAAGAGTAGATAGGCTGTTAAGTGTCACTGCTAGGATTTTAACTCACATATCTGTTGGACACTAGTTTCATAGTGCTAAAGTTCTATATAAACAAGAAAACGCTTGTTGGTTGATGTCTAGTTAACAGAACCGAGAGACCGTACAATCTACGAAACTGGAAGAATCACGGCCAGGTGGTCAATATCAAGGCTTGCGTGCATAGGTGATGAACAAGGAATAAATGCGGATTAACAACAAATAGACTCCGATGAAGAGAGAATCATTTTATAAACACTATAATTAGGTTCACTAAGTTTTGAAGATTAAGGGCTGCAGAAAGGTTCTATTTCCTCAGAATGGCATGAGATTAGTATTCGTCTTTAGAAGCAAAACCTATTAGTCCTTTTCGAACCTTACATGAATGCTTAAATAGATTCTCTTTATGAAGAATCCTGCCTACCTCAGCACGATTTCTTGTTGTCTGGCAATTAATAGGTTAGACAAAATTTCGCTTCCCTAGAGTTCTATAAGGAATGCTGAGAAATTTTTGATATGACCCGACATCACAGATTTTTCCGACTCCATTTTTTGCATTCGATTCATTTTCTCGCATTCATAATCCTCGATGACTTGAGACTTCTGAGGGTGTGTTAGGTTTCCAGTTGAACATTTTCGCTTTCCTTATGAATGCTACTTAAGTCGAATCATCCAGACATCCTGCGATAGTCGTGCTAGTTCGCTCCCACATAGACTAGAGGGTGTGAGCTTGTCCCAGAGAGCTCTGGTGCCAATTTCTACACTCTAGAGAAATGAGGAAATTAGCGGGCAAAATACAGAGTCGAACCGGGGCGTTGTCTTCTCGTAATAAATAGCGCACTACTGACCTATCTATTCCCGTGGTAAGGATATGCCTATTCCAGGTCGTCGTCACCGGTATTCGCCGGCCTTTGTAGGTTTTGACAAAATTTGCCCTGTTATGGATAGGCTGCTTCCGCGATGGTGCTGATTCCAGAAAAATGTCGAAACCCTTCCCACTTTGGGACACCGTGCGAGGGACCTTGGCTGTACATCATATTTTGACGCTGAAGAATATCTTTCAGCCACGTTGAAGCTAATCGTTTTATTAAACTAAGTTTTATTACACTTCGGATCCTGAAAGCATCTATTACGGGCAGGAGCGAGGAAGTTATAGCAGACGATACGGTGACAAAACCATGTGTAAGACGTTGAGCACGTCAACCTTGTCCAATCAATATGAAGAAGTCGGAGAACACTTGAATTCACGTTCTTCCCATTGCCCTACAGTTTCTCGTGACATCGTCATCACCTAATGAGATTGCCTAAAGCGATCATTACAAGTGCTTCAAGAATGTTAATATAATGGCCTACAGCTACACCCACAAAATCATGGTCGTTCTTACGTTAGCGATTTCAACGAAAGCCAGAGTGGATTGACGATATCACACACTTCAAGGACAACTACTAGATGCTAAACAACTGAAGCCAGGGGGAAAAAGTTGTTGTAGGCGGAAACTTTCTTGCTTATCGAGAATCAAACAAAATATTACTAATGTCACAATGTTAACTATTTTATTTACTGCCCATTGAAGTTTTACTGCTGATGGCACAGATCGGTAGAAAACTAGCTGAGAGACAGGCGAAATGAAAGACCCGAATGGTGGTGAAAGCGTTAGCCCTCGGAAAAGGTAATGGCACGCTCGCTCTGCAAGGCAGGCACCTGCGGTCCGGAGTTTTGCAAATATATCAGCATTATTGTGGTTATATCATTGAATAGTTTATATGGAGTCAACAAAAGACCCTGTTTACCTGCATAGCAGTGCCCAGTTGGTTGCGGTGGGCAGTTGCTTCCGTAGTTAATTGTTTTGAGAAATGTTATAATCTGGATTGGAAGTCGCAGCAGTGTCATGAATTGTCTAATGTTGACCTGGATCTTCGATCGGTACTAAGTTCGAGTATTCATAACGTAATCGGCTACATGGAAGCAAACGATACCGTAACCGTAACGTTGAAGTTACTGAGCAGAAGAACTTCTGTGCACTGTTTCACCTAATTTATGCCTAATCTTCTATACTTCTGTACTTTGTATTTTGTAAAATTATACTCACGACGTTAGGACCTCACAAATATAAATTAAACGCAAAGACACAAGCTTTATAAAATTTTTTAGGCCAAAAGAATAAGAGGGAAAGCACTGGTCTTTGTTTAACTTCTCAGGAATGCGCTATCAAGGGATTTTAAGAGGTAATTCAATGCACATTTGGTCTTTACAATCACTGTCATCTTACGTCCACTAAAATAACGGGGATTTGAAGTGCAATACCGTACCGAATCAAGGGCTATTTGTATCACCTAGAATCCGTGACTAATGCGGTGTTTTGGAATGAGATGACATAAAGTGTTTACTTTTTCCTTCTGAACGAGTCAATTCCGAGAGGATGAAGTGCTTTGATTAAGTCATTCATAGATGAGCCAAATCGATGTTAACTATGTGAATTAGCACTGCACTACACTACACTATGTGTCCATGGTGCATCGAACGTACAACATAATAATATGGTTAGTTCGAATAAAATGTCCTTTTTGGTCAGTTTTATAGATCGACGGGGCGCATATAGGACAGTGGTTAGAAGTACCCTGCAACGTATACACGGTCTTTGGTTCGATCCTGCGGCCCGGGCTCTAAGAGTCCTCCATCCTTCTGAGGCTGGGAGATTGGTATCAAGGTGTCTGAAATGTAGCAGTTCTGACTTGATACATTGGTACCATCTGCATCACCTGTCGTTCCGTTTATCGTCGAGTAACTCGAGTGGAAGTGAGTAAATCTTCCATTTCTCCCTGCCGCGTGCAAGGTTATCCCAGTGGGCTGTGTTCACTTTAGGGACTCTTTGAGCATCATATCTTTTTCGTAATATTTTCGTGAAGAAGTCTGACCACCGGCTCGGACGTCTTCCTGCCGTACGTTTGACATTCCAAGAAATCGTGAATACGCTGCGCGTGGAACACTACATGTTCGGCCCATCATGTCTTCGACAGTTTGGCGTGTAGAACGGCGTCTTTGACCTTAATCGTTGACTTAGATAGGAGATTCGAATCCTCGCTATCACTTGCATAGGCAATCGCAAATCATTATATAGGCCAGAAGTCACCTTTAACGACGCTTGATGAAGTCTAATGTTTGATACCTTCCTCAAGGATTGATCAACACTGAGCGCTATCTTCTCCTTTATCCTTATTGATCGAAGTATGAACAGTTGCATCCTGCTGACCTTTGCCACTTTGTCACAGGCCTGGATATCCCATTTAACTTACACCAAAAGTTAAACTTTCGAGTTTCAATAAATTTTTTGGGAGCTTTTCGACTGCCTTTTGATTGGGATTGGCGATCAAGTCCTTTTAGAGCATATCTAGGGGTTTGAAGAAGCTTTAATCCGTTCTCGAAAGGAGTGATAAGTGGAATGGAATAAGAAGGCTAGCCTATAGCAACTGAACTCTCTTTTATATTAACAATTGTGAAATAGGCAAGCGGCAACTATCGTACATCGGAGTCAAGCATTTTCTGTTTGGCTAATGCTCACTTGAATTATTAAATTCCCTTTTATCAATAAGTCGTGTGCATCACAGCAATTCTTTTTCCGATTCGCCGCCTTGCAACAAGAAATTCACACAGGTGGCACATTTCATTAGCGGATTCCCTTGCGGCTTGGTGATTTGTTGCTTTCATCCCTAGGTGATGAATTGAATAAGCATGGTTTTCCTGGTATCCCGAGATACCCATGCTCCCGTGCTGAGGCGTTTTCATGCCTAGGTCAACACCACAAGCAACTCTTGGCTTTTATGGATCAATATGAAATTTTTCGGCTCCCGACTAGTAACTTTTTTAATGGTGACAATTCTTCCTGCAATTATTCAGCTGAACGAGTCGAGGATAGTACAGTACACCAAATCCGGTTTGGTCAATAAAGGTGGCTTTTCCGCCAACTTTTCATGTAGTTCTCTAATATAAATGAAATTTTTCTCTGCTACTACAGTTGTACTTGTGTTTTGGAAGGTGTAGTAGATAACGACAGGTACCAAATACGGACAGTTTTTATCTTTTGCTAATATTTGGCCAGGAATGTGCCCTGGCTCTGCGTCAGAACCGAATCAATTAGGTTAAACTAGTTGTTTTGTCCATATTTCTCACCAATAATTGGATACAAAAAAAACTCCGGGCAAAGAGCTAGTTAAGACCTATTAGCGCCCTAGAGAATAAAGGATAAGGAATAAAGTGTTCGTCGTTGACAAATTCTTGAGGGATGCCCAATATTTTCTATTTTGGTAGGTATCTTTGTGATGATTGAAGGCACATCTGGCTTACACAATGATTGGCGTTGGATGGTTTTATTTTCCTAGACAAGTACTGAACCCATTTGTTCATTCCCGAGAATGGAGTAGGAGGTTTGGTTAGCTCTGTGCTGGATCGAGCTAGTTTCTTGCTTGTATCTCTCTAGCTCTGCGTTACCCACTCCTCGATTTTGATATTAACCAAACAAAAATCCAATTTTTAAATGCTATACGAGTTTCATAAAGAATTGAACATTTTTTAATGAGCATTTTATATCAGCTATCACTGACAGTGACCGCTTGACACTTTTACCATTAAGGTGACTTTTTTCTTTGCTCTCAGCTCATAAATTCTGAATGGTTTCTCATTTCATAATATTTTTCTTGAAATTGAATCTAATATAAAAATTAGATAATGAACGAACAGAATTAAAGGAGTAATATATGAAGAGCTATGAATTGAAACCGTGAATGCTAACGAAAGTTGCTAGCTGAAATTCGAACACGATGAGAAGCTCAGTAAGTAAAGAAATGGGTGCTGGTGGTATTCTGTACG